TAGGATGAAATGAACCTACTATAATCGCAAGCAGAGCAAGAGTCAAGTGTTTTATGTTAAAACGGGACATTCATAACTGACGGCATAACAGGGTCCATTTCAAGCACTTATTATACCTCAGTATGCAGTGCTTAAAAGAGGCAAAGTTTTGAAAATGTGTGCAAGCAGTTGAAAAAAAATGTAAGCCTCTCCTATCACTCAAGACCAGAGCAAACATTCACCGCTGGTAATGGCTCTCTGAAGGGTCAAATGCTGGCTTGTTTACTCTTTGGTCAGTCGCAGATGTTGTACAGCAGAGTACAGTTCTTTAAAAAACTTTTGACTGGTAGTGTAAATGTTTATCATTATGCTGATATTGTACATTTCAAGTCAAGTCAAGTCACCTTTATTTATATAGCACTTTTAACAATACAGATTGTGTCAAAGCAATTGTACAGCATTAAATAGGAAAACTGTGTTGATAATGCAGAAGGACAACAGTAAACACTCAATGTTCAGTTAAAGGCCGTTCATCATTGAGTTCAGTGATGTCATCGTCCAGCTCAGTTCAGTTTAAACAGTACCTGTGCAATCAGTGTGATACAAACACACTAAACGTATGAAAACGATCATGTTTCTCTGCTGGTCGTGACAGACACGCTGCATGTTTCTCTGTGTCTACAGATTCTCATGAAGTCTTACTCGGTTTTTATTCTAGATTTTACAACAAAGCTTATGTAAAGCTACTGTGAATAACAACATCAACACTGCTCTTTCTATGCCACACAAACATACACTGATCACCGGTTCTAACATTCACAAGCTATTTTCTTCATTCGTTAAAAAATGATTCATTGTCATGAATACAACTACTAAGTTGTTGATAGTTATGTTTTTATTTGACCACCAAATGAAGCATAACCAGCGCCGGTGATGCATCAATATGCAATCATGTGAATGATGTGATCAAATCACTTCCAGGTCTGAATCTGAAGAGTTTGAGCTATTTATGTCATGCAGGAAAATTCAATAGCTTTCAGACGCATTTGACTGTCCATTGAAGCATGTGACACATCAGCGGACGGTCAACATCTCCATCTGGGTCAGTGAGGACCGATGAACCGCACACACACACACACTCGCACACACACACACACACACACACACTCACACACACACACACACACACACACACACACACACACATCGCCATCATCCGATAAAAACCTGCTCTCTGTAATCCTGGATCTTTCTGAAGCAGAAGAGTGTGAGAGACGCATTAACGCTCTCTGTGATCTGACCCGTCCACAAACACAAACTGACCTTTACTGTCCTGAACAACAGACCACGGCTGTAATTAGACAAGCGTTAACGAAGATATCAGACATCAGACTTTCTTCTCTACACAAATCAACAGGCTGTTTCTCATGAATGCGCTCATCTGACATCCGTTAACGTCACTCGCTTAACTCCTGGAAATAAAAATCTCATTCACGTTCTCCGACAAGAAACTGATTTAATAACAATGTAGAAAGATCTCCACCAGCTCTGAGGATGTTGTTCAGAGATCATTAAATCATGCCTGATCACCAGGTCAAGGCAGCTTTATTTCTATACGACACAGATTGTGTCAAACAGATCCAGATTCCAGATTCTGCACAGTAGTGCCATTATTCAGATCAAGTCAGTTCAGAGCTGGTTTGGTTCAGTTTAATATCAGCGTGAAGTCATCAGTTTTAAAACGATTTCAGAGCAGCTCTACTCTCTTAACACAAATTAATTTGTCATCTGGTAGAACTGGATCCAAGCGGACAGGTTGAGAGACACCCTCATCTCAAACACCATCAACAAAACCACACAAGATGAAAGACTAAGACATCGAGTGCGGCTTCGCTTGATTACCCTCAGTTTGTGTGTATCTAATGGTAATGTCAATGTTTGAGTTGAGGTTTACAGGGTACTATACAAAACCACTGGTGTAAACTATACTCTTCACTTGCAGAGCACATTCTGAGCACCAAAATAATGAAATAAAATGATGTAACGAAGATGACCTGTTTCAGTTCATTCGAGCAGTCTGGAGCGAGTTTGTGAACGTCATCATCATGCAATCAATGTCAAGGCAAACGAGCTGTGCGCCACTCCTTCATAAGACCAACAAACTAAAACACACCACTATATCTGCGCCGTTAAAGCAGACAGTGTTCAAACTCGTCTCCAACACACAAACGTCTTCTAGAATAAGCCTGAGGAGACGTTCATCTTCCTCAAACACGCCAGTCATCTTCATCACAGCTCATCGTTAAAGGCTGCTCGTTTGCTGTGATCGTTGTGTCACTATTATATCTGAGGAATCATTAGAGAATAACTCATAAGGGCCGGGAGAGTGGACTCGACCAAACAAACACCTTTAACAAAACGCTTTAAAACACCGCTGGACTTCATCAAATATCACAGATCATCTGCTGAGCATTCACAATATAAACCTTACTTACCAAACATGATTTAGTTAGAGTACTCTACTAGTTTTGAATTGGCCATCACTTGAGAAAGACGCTTTTGTCAACTCTATTATAACTCGGGTCAGCTCTTCAGACTGCTCTGACTCTGGTTGCTATCTGTTTTCTAACTGATCCGACTTACGGTTCTTGTAAACCAGAGTATCAAAACCACCAAAGATCCCATAGACTTTCATTGAAAACTTTTGTACAATGAGACGTACAGTGCATTTAAGCTGTATATATATATAGCAAAGCTAAAACCAGCCTAAGCTGATTGGCTGCTTTGGATGCTCTCCCAAGCTGGATTTAAAGTGGTTTTGACCACTCGTTTAGCCGGTCTGGCTGGTCTTAGCTGGTCAAGCTGGGAGACCTGCTAAAAGACCAACCAACTTTACACCTAAGACTAGGCTGGTTTTAGCTGTTTTATAGCTGTTTTTTGTTGTTGGAAAAATGGAAATTATATCATTAGTTACTCACCCTCATGTCGCTCCAAACCCGTAAGACCTTCGTTCATCTTCAGAACACAAATTAAGATATTTCTGATGAAATCCGAGAGCTCTCTAACCCTGTGTTCTGAAGATGAACAGAGGTCTTACGGGTTTGGAACGACATGAGGGTGAGTAATTAATTATATAATTTCCATTTTTGGGTGAACTAACCCTTTAAAGCATAAAACTGCTTCAAACGTAAAGACAAGGCATTTAAGCCAACTTCAAAGTTTGTTCGCAAACTTTAGGCTACTAATCTAGTTTTATTTAGAATGAGATGCATTGATGACTAACAGCAGGAAAATAGAGCAGAAAATAGAGTTCATTTGGATTTCAAGTTGACTTTAAAAATCTGGTCAGCCAGGCAGTGAATTCTGTGAAGTGGGAGAGGTTTATGTGTGTTTGCATATGTATGCATGTGTTTGTGTGTGTGTGTGTGAGTGTGTGTGTGTG